AGTATGCATGCCCAGTGTGGAACACATCTCACCACGCTAAAACAGTAGATGTGGCCCTTAATGAGACATGCCACATTACACCACTTAATGAGACATGCGCGCTACACCACTGGAGAAATTACACTGTTTAGCCGGTATTGCACCACCTGACATTTGCCGGGAAGTAGTAACCAATAGTGAAAGGACCAAGGCAGTGACATCTCCAGCTCATCCACTGTTTGGGTATCAGCCAGCATGTCAATGACTTAAATCAAGAAATAGTTTTTTAAGATCTACAGAGACACTCGCTGGAACACCTCAGCAAGCGAGAGTCCAAAAGTGGCAGGCTCAAACCCAGAACCTCAATCAATGGCTGATACCAAATGAGAGACTCCCCCCTGGGCACATAGAAAACTGGGCGACTTGGAAGGCGCTGAACAGACTGCGCTCTGGCACCACGAGATGCAGAGCCAACCTTAAGAAATGGGGCCACAAAGTGGAATCCACGACATGCGAGGGTGGAGAAGAGCAAACCACAGACCACCTGCTGCAATGCAACCTGAGCCCCGCTACATGCACAATGGAGGACCCTTTTATAGTAACACCAAAGGCACTCCAAGTGGCCAGATACTGGTCAAAGGACATTTAATCAACTACCAAGCCTGCAAACTTTGTGTTATGTTTGTTTGTTAAAAAATGCAATACAACTGTTTGGTTTGCTCCTGACACGATAAATAAATAGCAAAAATAAGAAGCACCTCTGTACTCTGATGAAAGCAAAACACACTACACCATCAGTGATCTTGGCTCAGCAGCATAAAACAGTCAATCATGATAATTGTCCCAAATGTGGCCACTCAGTAAGGATGTAGAGTTAGTGCTTTACTTACATTCTACTTGGATGTTCACAGTCCTGGAGCTAGAGCCATGCTTGTTTGTGGCTGTGCAGAGATAAGTGCCAGCGTATTCTTTGGTAACAATCTGAAGAATACCAGGGGTATAACTGGTGCCATTTTTGGTGCACTCAACAGTTGGCTCTGGGTCTCCCCAGGCAAAGCAAGTGAACATTTGTTCTGTCTCTACTATCCAGGTCCAGTTATGTGGACAACTTGAATTGTCCATGTCTGGTTCATCTATAACAAAAGTTAATGAGAAAGTTAAATTTTTACAAAGGAAATGTTCAAATGCATAGTCCTCAATAACTCACATGTCACCACATGACCTAGAGATTCATAGACAGACCATTTCTCTCGAAATATCAAAGTTCTCCAGTGCAATACTATTTCATCTTCCAGCAAAGTCATACTAACGTTCTGGCCCAGACTACCTGTCCGAACGTATCTTCTCTTATGAACCATCATGAAGTTTAAGATCTTCAGGAGAGGCCCTGATCTCAATCCCACCTCCACCGCAAACCTGATTGGTGAGGACAAGAGACAGGGCCTTCTCGGCAGTGGCACCCATTATGTGGAACTCTCTTCCCAGGGACATCAGGTTAGCCACCTCTGTCCTGTCCTTTAGAAGAAAATTGAAGACTTGGCTTTGGGACCAGGCATTTGATTAATGGATAGCGGCAATTGGAAAGAAGACTTGGAGACTGCGACACTGAATTAACCCCAGACTTGGATGTGGTTTTAAAGTGGTGTGACTAATCTATTGTTTTAATGAATTGTTTTTAATGTTTTAATGTAATTTAATGTAATTGTTCTCACTCCTGTCAACAGCACAAATGCGTCTGGCAGGGACAAGAGACAGGGCCTTCTCGGCTGTGGCCCCCTGCCTCTGGAATACACTCAGAAATGAGGTAAGATCCGCTCCCTCCCTCCTGGCTTTTAGAAAAAAATTAAAATCATGGTTCTGGGACCAGGCCTTCGGACAGTAGATGTATGTAGCATTTTAGAGAGACATTGACTGGAACGGCGATTAGACTGATGAGACTGTTTTATTGTTTTAATGCTTGTTTATACATTGTTTTAATTGTGATTTATATTCAATTGTGGTTTTGCTATTGTAATTGTTTGTATCGGCATCGTATTGGTGCCCAATGTAAGGCATTGAATCTTGCCATTATTTAGGTGTAAACCACTTTGAGCCCCTCCAGGGGTGAGAAAGGCGGTATATAAAAATGTAATGTTCATTTGTGATATTAACAGAACTCAAAAACCACTGAGGGAATTGACACCAAATTTGGACAGAACACAGCATTCAGAGCCATCTATGTCCTGCACTCAAAAAAATTCCTCCCAAAGAACAGTAAGACCTTAAATTTTAAAGGAGAACACTGCGCATGCGTCCAAACCCATTCTCTTCCCCCCAACCCGCCGCGCGAGCACAGCCAGTGCGAGAGGCACCACGGCATGCCCAACTGGCAAACAGGCGGGAAGGTGCCCTGCAGCCATAGCAAAAAAAGGGGCGGTGCTGGGTGAGCGAGGCCTGCCTCCAAAGGATCCTTCCCTCCAGCACCCAGGCAAGAAGTAAAGAAGGGAAGGAAGGGAAGTGGCAGAGAAGAAAGGAGAGAGAGAAAGAGGGAGGGAAAGAAAGCAGGAAAGAGAGAAGGAGGGATGGAAGCAAAGAGCAAAGGAAGGAAAGGGAGAGAAGGAAGAAAGGAGAGAAAGAAGGAAAAGAAAAGAAAAGGGGGGAGGGAGGGAGAAAAGTGAGAAGGAAAGGAAAAAAGGAAGGAACGAAGGAAAGAGGGAGAGAAGGAAGGAAGGCGAGAGAGAAAGAGGGGTGGAAGGTTTTCCACAGTACCTACTAACCCAAGGAGTGACCATCACTCAAAAATTGAGTTTGTTATTTGGGAGTTGTGGTTCCTGGGATGTATAGTTCACCTACAATCAAAGAGCATTCTGAACTCCACCAACAATGGAATTGAACCAATCTTGGCACACAGGACTCCCATGACAAACAGAAAACACTAGAAGGGTTTGGTGAGCATTGACCTTGAGTTTGGGAGTTGTCATTCACCTACATCCAGAGAGCACTGTGGACTCAAACAATGATGGATCTGGACCAAACTTGGCACGAATGTTCCATAAGCCCAAATATGGACACAGATGGAGTTTGGGGGGACATTGACATTTGAGAGTTGTAGTTACTGGGATTTATAGTTCACCTACAATCAAAGATCATTCTGAACCCCACCAATGACAGAATTGGGGCAAAGTTCCCACACAGAACCCCCATACTTAAGGCCATCCAGTCCAACTCCCTCCACCAGGGCAAGAAAACGTAATCAAAGCCCTCCTGACAAAGAGCCATCCAGCCATAGATTAGATAGATAGAAATGATTCACACACAGAGAGATATAGTATAGATTTGAAAGGGACCCCTAAAGAAGGACAATTTCCATGTTGCATGTTCCAGAGTAGGCAAACCAGACAATCTCCACATCAACACTGACAAAGAAACAGCAAGAAATACTGTTGACCCACAAGCATAAAGACATTACATATATTAGAAACCAGCACTTTCTCATTACTTGATTTTCCAGATCACCAGACTGGGCCACAGCAACGCATGGCAGGGGACAGCTAGTAAAATAATAAATACATATTTATATGTTGATAGCATCGTACGGTGCTTATGTGAGGCCACCCTGAGTCCCCCCTTGGGGGGAGAAGAGTGGGGTAAAAGGGTATATAATAAACAATTAAATAAAAAATAAATAATACTAGAAGACCTAGATTTGCTAGGGAGGCATTATCTGAGGTTAAAAGAAATAGCAATAATTTTATTTGCAGTTTTTCACAATCAGAATTTCTATGCCCTTAACTACAGTGAATGTGGAGAGCAGATTGTATTTGCCATTCCCATAGAATATATGCCAACCTCCACAGTGTAAAAGGAATTTTAGTATCAGGCCACCAATCCAACATGTGATGTGCAAGTGGTACTTACATTCTATCTTGATGGTGACCATCTTGCTACTTGACCCATGTACATTGGTAGCATTGCACTCGTAGATGCCAGCATAGCTTTGTGTGACATTCTGCACTTTTTGGACATCAAACACTTTTCCATCCTTTACACAAGAGACCTCTGGGATTGGTATGCCATCAGCTTGGCAATTGAGTTTCTGTAGGCTTCCTTCCAGCCATGTTTGGTTATTAGGGCATCCAGACTCATTCAGCTCAGACCCATCTGCAAGAGAAAGGAGGTGGATAAGAAGATCCATATTGCTTATGGGACAAAGCTTCTTGGGCTATCAATGGTCAGTATCTGAAGGCAGTGAGACTTCACCTCTTAGAGTGGGGTAAGCACCTGAGTGTTGAACTAAGACTTTGGGAAACCAGAGTACAAATTCCCACTCAGACAAACAACCTCATCAGATGAGCAAAATTGCCTGTCCACGCCTACTGGCTCCCATCATATGGTGTTGATCTACTTCTGGTAGGGCTCCATGCCTCAACTACAAGTGTGACAAGAGGCTGCTTCAGCAACATGGGAGGCTTTCTGTGTTGCATAGGAAACAACAAGGGCAAACCGGGCAGCAATGCTTCCCACCATGGAATGGGGTGAGGGGCAAGGCGGGTGATGTGGGGTGCAGGGTGACGGGTTCCACCATGCCCCCCATTGGGCCCCCCTGGATTTGCCATGACTTGTGGTGAATCCTGACCTTAGGTCCATACTACTGTGAGCCGTAGTAGTATGCCATATCTGAATAAACCTTACCAAGAAAGCTTAATGTCACTCTAAGTCAGACGTGGTTTTGAAGGTTCTGGTCCTTCCTGGAGGGTCGCTCCCAGATGGTGAAGCTGGGGGACACCTGCTCAGACCCCTGGCCTTTGACCTATGGGGTCCCGCAAGGTTCCATTCTGTCCCCCATGCTTTTCAACATCTACATGAAACAGCTGGGAGCGGTCATCTGGAGTTTTGGAGTTGGATGCTATCTCTACGCAGATGACGCCCAACTCTATCACTCTTTTCCACCTAATTCCAAGGAAGCCCCTCGGGTGCTGGATGAGTGCCAGACCGCTGTGGTTGTCTGGATGAGGATGAATAAGCTGAGGGTCAATCCTGACAAGACAGAGGTCCTCCTGGTCGATCGTAAGCCAGATCGGGGTATAGGGTGGCAACCTGTGCTTGATGGGGTTGCACTCCCCCTGAAGTCACAAGTCAGCAGTTGTCCTCCTAGACACATGGCTAACACTTGAAGCTCAGGCGTCGGCGGTGGCTGGGAGGGCCTTCGCACAATTAAACTCATGCGCCAGCTGCGACCGTATCTCAAGAAGTCAGATCTGGCCATGGTGGTCCACACCTTAATCACCTCCAGAATGGATTACTGTAATGCACTCTACGTGGGGCTGCCCTTGAAGATGGCTCGGAAATTTCAATTGGTACAACGGGCGGCAGCCAGGTTACTTACTCGAGCAACTTACAGGGAGCGGTCAACCCCCCTGTTTAAGGAGCTCCATTGGCTGCCGTTCATTTTCCGGTCCCAATTCAAGGTGCAGGTTCTTACCTACAAAGCCCTGAATGGTTTGGGACCCGCCTATCTGCCTGACCGCATTTACGTGTGCAAAACCACGTGATCTCTTCGATCATCTGGAGAGGCCCTGCTCTTGCTCCCACCCCCTTCGCAGGTGCAATTGGTGGGGATGAGGTAGAAGGCTTTCACTGTGGTGGCCCCCTGACACTGAAACTCACTCCTTAAGGATATCAGACAAGCCCCCACATTGGCAGTCTTTAGGAGCCTGAAAACGTGGCTGTTCCAGTGTGCCCTCCCTGAATGAAGGAAACAATACCCTGCTCTGATTAATTTTCTGCAATTGTCCTCAGAAGCACTATACTACCTGTTGGATTGGTCTCCCTACATTATCTTTTAAAACCCTCCTGCTTAGATACATCCTACCTCTGTTCACGTGCAGTGTTTATTTAAATTTTTTAAATTTATTACATCTGGCCCAGCCATAAAGTTTTAAACTCTGTGTATTATTGTTTATATGAAAGTTATATTAATTGTACTGTTTTATTTGCTTGCTGTTTTGTTTTTACTGATGTGTTCTTGGGCTTGGCCTCATGTAAGCCGCCCTGAGTCCACTTGGGGAGATTATTATTATTATTATTATTATTATTATTATTATTGTTATTAAGGTACAAAAAAGCAATGATATGGCTATGACCACAAAGAAGATCCAAATGGAGGAGGATGAGAGATACAGAAGCACATCTTTAGGCAAGTAAACTTCCCTTCAAGATATTGTTGTACAAAATGGGGTCTGGATCATATATGATCTTCAGTGCCAATCTGGAGGTCTCTAAGATGTCATTGTCCTTTTTGAAACAATGATTTTATTGCTTCATGAAATAGAATTCTGGCTTTCTTCCTGGTTTAAACATAGCATCTTCTGAGGCTAAAATTGGGGAGAGCAAAAATGTGTATTTTGAATTTTTTAAGTTTAGAGAGTAGAATGGGGCATAAGGTGAAGCCTTCTGAGGATTGGTGAAAGATGTGACACCCTTTGGACCTCAAGCCATTGCTCTGCTTGAAGAAGCTATTTCTTTCAGACAGCACAGAGTGTGGCAGTAAATTCAATAAAAGGGAGATGGTTTGGCCAAGGGATTTCTTAAAGCCCAGACAGTGTAAAACCACGATCCCTGCTAAGTTCATAGGATATTTTTGAAATGAACACATAGTGAGCCTGAACTGGATAGAACCCACTAGACATGGCTCAGATCCCCCAACCCCACCTGAGAAAGGAGCTCCATTGATGAAAATTCACAGTTGTTACCTTAGTACCTGTGTAAAGATCGTCGGGGTGGGGAGAAATTTGCTAGGAGAGAGTATAAGCCTCTGTGTTGCTCCCAGCCCATATCAGTCCTGTTCTGAGCTTAGTTGACAGTGAAAAAAGAGTGGATCTTAAATGTAGCTATTAGGCCTGTGCGGTTTCGTTCGTTAATTCGTTAATTCGTTATTAATTCGTTATTTTTGGCATTTCCGAAGCGATATTGAAACATATTTCCAAACCCGGAAGGGTTTTTAAATATCGAACCAGCAACCCCCATAGTTTTAACGAGCCTCCGCTCGTTTCGTTAATGGGGTGGAGGCTGCTGGAGTGCTGGTGCCTGGGAGCCAATCCGGCGCTCCCAAGCAGTGCACCATGGGTCCGTGGCTGTCTGTTTTTGATTGGCCAGCGAGCCCTTTCAAAGCGGCTCCGCGCGGCCCGTAGCTTGCTGCAGAGGGCGAGGGAGTTTGCATTGGGTTGGCTTGGCAATGGCTGCTAGCAACTGGGATTGGATTCATTCCTTGCTGCTGTGAGTGCTGCTTGCTTCATTTGCTGTCTCTTGCCTGTGTTTGGTCCACATTTGGGCCATTTTTTGGTTAATTTTCCATTTTAAAATATTTTTAATATTTTTTAATATTATTTTTTAATATTATTTTAATATTATTCTTAAAAAATATTCTAAAAAAGAAAAGACTCTTCTGTTGGTGTGTGCTCTCATTTGCTGTATCCTGCCTGTGTTTGGTCCACATTTGGGCCATTTTTTGGTTAATTTTCCATTTTAAAATATTTTTTAATATTATTTTAATATTATTCTTAAGAAATACAAAAAAATTCTAAAAATTCGTTAATATTTACAAAATTTCTTAAATACCAAAACTTTTTTTTGGAAAGTTTTGTAATTATTTTAAATATCGAAACAAAAAAACACCCCAATTACAAATCGATTTTAGAAACAAATTTTTTCTTGATCAAACAGGCCTATTAACGAATGTTTAACGAATTAACGAATTAACGAACGAAACCACACAGGCCTAGTAGCTATGCAAGTAGCTATCCAAAGTGCTGATGCTACTCTGCCTTTTGGATTTCTGCTTGAGGTGCATCCCACTCATTCATGTCATGCTACTTTACTTCCAGGGCTGTCATCCCAAGAAAAAGTCACTCAAATCGAATCATAGAATCACCGAGTTGGAAGAGACCTCATGGGCCATCCAGTCCAACCCCATTCTGCCAAGAAGCAGGAAAATTGCATTCAAAGCACCCCCAACAGATGGCCATCTAGCCTCTGTTTAAAAGCTTCCAAAGAAGGAGCCTCCACCACACTCCAGGGCAGAGAGTTCCACTGCTGAATGGCTCTCACAGTCAGGAAGTTCTTCCTCATGTTTAAAAGCCTCCAAAGAAGGAGCCTCCACCACACTCCAGAGCAGAGAGTTCCACTGCTGAACAGCTCTCACAGTCAGGAAGTTCTTCCTCATGTTCAGATGGAATCTCCTCTCTCGTAGTTTGAAGCCATTATTCAAGAAAGGAGATTCCAAATAAATGAACAGGCAACCCCTTCTTGCTTCCCTGGCATGTAACAACATAGATTTCTACTTACATTCCACATGGATGGTGACAGCTTTCGTTGTTGAGCCAAACTCATTTGTGGCCGTGCAGTTGTAGATGCCAGCATGACTGCGGTTAACCAGCTCCTCCCTTTGCATATTGCGAGTGATGCTGTCTTTGATGCAAGTCACAGACGGCTCTGGGTTCCCCTTAGCCATGCACTGGAGCCTTTGCCGTGTTCCTTCCACCCACGTGTGGTTGTCTGGACAAGTCGAGCCATCCATTTCCGGCACATCTGCAATGTGCAGAGGGAACACACACATTGGTTGAGGTTCTTCTCTCTTTAGGTAAGAAATAAAGGGGGAGGTTTAATGTTGCAGAACACTGGCCGCCCATATTTGGGAAGTATTTCCATGGGGGACATGACAGAAGCCTCCCACAAGGATGGTAAAACATCAAAACATCCGGGCATCCTCTGGGTAAGGTCCTTGCAGGCAGCCAAGTCTCTCACCCCAGAAGCAACTTGCAGTATCTCAAGTTGCACCTGACACCAAAATAAATACATACATACATACATACATACATACATACATACATAATAGGCCCAGCTTTAGTGTGGTCCTTTAGTTATCAGCTGCCTGGAAACACATACACTTTAAAATTTATACATGTCACGGTGGTCCACGCTCTTGTTACATCCCGATTAGATTACTGCAATGCACTCTACATGGGGTTGCCTTTGAAGACTGTTCGGAAACTCCAACTAGTCCAGCGGGAGGCAGCCAGATTGCTCACTGGAGCGTCATACAGGGAGCATACCACCCCCCTGTTGTGTCAGCTCCACTGGCTGCCAATCCAATTCCGAGCACAATTCAAAGTGCTGGTTTTGACCTACAAAACCCTATACGGTTCCGGCCCAGTGTATCTGTCCGAATGGATCTCCCTCTACGTCCCACCTCGGAATCTAAGATCTTCTGGGGAGGCCCTGCTCTCGACCCTGCCTCTATCACAAGTGAGATTGACGGGGACGAGGAGCAGGGCCTTCTCGGTGGTGGCCCCTCACCTGTGGAATTCACTCCCCGGGGAAATTAGATCAGCGACATCCCTCCTTTCCTTTAGGAAAAAATTGAAAACTTGGATTTGGGACCAGGCATTCGGACATTCTGGCAGCTAAAGAAAGGACTTTGACGATGGACAGGAATTGACTAAGCGGAATGGAATTATGGAACTCTGAAAGATGAACGCTGAGCATGAGATTAGTTTTATTGATTGTGTTATGTACCGATTGTTTTTAACTGTGATAATTGTTTTAACTGCTGTTTTGTACGTATGTGTATTTTGTGTAGGCATCGAATTGTGCCTTTTTGTAAGCTGCCCTGAGTCCCCCCTTGGGGGTTGAGAAGGGCAGGGTAGAAGTACCCGAAATAAATAATAAAATAAATATCTCTACTCTGGGCAAAGGTCTGCCATTGGGGCTCACCAAGAAATGGACTGTCAAAAATGCCAGACAAAAGAGATAAAAATGAAGTTTTGATACTTCAAACAATAAATGGTCCTGGTAGTCTGAAGAAAATAAGGATGGGGAACTTCTTAAAGAGGTTCTGAGTTGTTTTAAGTTGGTTTTGGATTATTTATTTAATAGTTTTAGAGTTTGTAATTGATTGCTCTTCATCTTTCCGTAGAAAGGATAACAATTGACAATTACAAAGCATTTCATTGGATGCTAGTTCACTGATTCTTAGGTTCTTCAACAGAATTGTTAAGTTGATAAAACCTGGCATACTGTGATGATGATGATGATGATGATGATGATGATGATGATGATGATGATGATGATAATGATGTCAGTCATAGAATCATAGAATCCTAGGGTTGGAAGAGACCATGGGCCATCCAGTCCAACCCCCTGCCAAGAAGCAGGAATATTGCATTCAAATCACCCCTGACAGATGGCCATCCAGCCTCTGTTTAAAAGCTTCCAAAGAAGGAGCCTCCACCACACTCCAGGCAGAGAGTTCCACTGCTGAACGGCTCTCACAGTCAGCAAGTTCTTCCTCATGTTCAGATGGAATCTCCTTTCTTGTAGTTTGAAGCCATTGTTTCCTAGTCTCCAGGGAAGCGGAGAGAACAAGCTTGCTCTCTCCTTCCTGTGACTTCCTCTCACATATTTATACATGGCTATCATATCTCCTCTCAGCCTTCTCTTCTTCAGGCTAAACATGCCCAGCTCCTTAAGCCGCTCCTCATAGGGCTTGTTCTCCAGATCCTTGATCATTTTAGTTGCCCTCCTCTGGACACATTCCAGCTTGTCAATATCTCTCTTGAATTGTGGTGCCCAGAATTGGACACAATATTCCAGGTGTGGTCTAACCAAAGCAGAATAGAGGGGTAGCATTACTTCCCTGGATCTAGATACTATGTTCCTATTGATGTAGGCCAGAGTTCCTCAAACTAAGGCCCGGGGGCCGAATACGGCCCTCCAGGGTCATTTACCCGGCCCTTGCTCAGGGTCAACCTAAGTCTGAAACGACTTGAAAGCACAAAACAACAATCCTATCTAATCCGCCAAAAGCAGGCCACACTTTCCATTGAAATACTATATTTGTTAAAATTGTTTGTTTAAATGCGTTAAAATTGCTCATTTATTTTTTAATTATTGTATTGTTTTTAAGTGTTTTTTGCACTACAAATAAGATATGTGTAGTGTGCATAGGAATTCCTTCATGTTTTTTTCAAAATATAATCTGGCCCTCCAACAGTTTGACGGACTGTGACCTGGCCCTCTGTTTAAAAAGTTTGAGGACCCCTGATGTAGGCCAAAATCCCATTGTTTTTTTTTTGCCACCACATCACATTGTTGGCTCATGTTTAACTTGTTGTCCACGAGGACTCCAAGATCTCGCATTCTGTATCTTTGTCTTGGTGGGGTTGCATCTGGTCTTGACCTATAAAACCCTATACGTCTCTGGCCCAGTGTACCTGTCTGAATGTATCTCCTTCTACGTTCCACTTCGACATTTAAGATCTTCTGGGGAGGCCCTGTTCTTGGCCCCACCTGGCGGGGACAAGGGCCAGGCCTTCTCGGTGGTGGCACCCCGCCTGTAGAATTCACTCCCCGGGGAAATTAGGTCATCTATATCCTTCCTCTCCTTCAGAAACAAGTTGAAAATGCGGATGTGGGATCAGGCCTTCGGGTGACTATGCTGACAAGGATAATGACAATGAGGACAAATTACTATGGCAATGGACTATGGACAAGCTTGATGGAGTCTCTGATTTCAGAATCTCAACCAGATAAGGCCATATGGCTGTTATATTTTAGCATATTTTAATTGAATGGATTTAATGTTTTGTTTGCAATTTTTGGTTTTATTATGTATTGTTATGTACTAATTTAGGCATCGAATCGTGCTGGCTGGAAGCCGCCCTGAGTCACCCGCGCTCCCGGGAGGGGGGAGGTTGAGAAGGGTGGGGTAATATTTGAAATAAATAAATATCCTGGGCCCATGTTTTGACCAACACTACCCAGCACCACCATGCCATCCACTGGCTGCTGAGGCTCCCTATTCTATACCTTTGAAACAAAAACAGAACTCAATACTCTGAGCTCCTTTTCTTTGATATCCCATCCCTCTCCTCCTTTTTAATCACCGGCACTAATTCCCCGAGTCCTTGACAGAGCAGCAGCATATAATCACATTTTCTTGGTTCTCCCTGACAGACACAAAGCTGCAAATGAAGTGAGTTTGTCTCCTTTATTTCCACAGGGTTCTGCACACTTTTTATTACTGGAGATGTAGTCCTGCAAGACTTAGGGGAGACTAGCTTTGAGGTGGGAAGTAGTAGCCGCAAGAATTGTTGAGGCAGACCAATAAAATTGCTGGCAAAACAGCTAAAGACGTAGGGCTGGGCAACCACGGAAAAATTTGTTTCTAAACTCGATTTGTTTTTAGGGGGGTTTTGCGTTTCGTTTTTTAAAAGAATTCTGAAATTTTTCTTTTAAAAAGTTCGAAATATACGAAAGTTTGGAAATTACGAAACAATTCGAAACAATAACGAATCGATTCGTTAATGGCGGACGCGATTGCTCAATACGCTAAAAAACCCTCCAAATGGGACAGGGGGAACTTCTGAAGCTTCCCTCTCCCTCTGTTGTTGACTGTTGGTGTGATAATTTATTTTTTTATCACTGATAAAACAAACAACAACTATAAAACTTGCACCAGACATATGGAAATAATAACGAAACGATTTAATAACGAAACAATTTCGAAACAATTACGAAACAATTACGAAATGAATTGAAAAATTCGTTTCGATTTTTAGTTGCTCCTGAATGGTTCAATATCGGATCGTAAGCTAATTTAAATACGAATCAATAACGAATTACGAAATTAACGAACCAAACCGCCCAGCCCTACTAAAGAGCATTGGTGTGAGTGAACAAGAGCTGCAAACCTCAGCAATAATCTGTAGTTATGGTTTCTGGCAGCATGGAATTTAATTAAATCCGGGAGAATAATATGCTTTTTTAAAACAGTCTTTTCATCTTTTCATTTGTTTGTGATGTAGGGCAATTTTTCTTTGAGTTTTAGTTAGTGTTTGATGGAGTTGGGTTAATTGTGATAGATTAGCACTTTAGCAGTGTTAGTTTTGTCTGGTGCAGTGTAGTTTAGTTTAGTTTTAGTTTTGCCTATACATATATTCTAGGCTTGGTTGATCCAAAAAAAATGGTTCAAAACTTGTTTCGGATGCTCATGGTTTGATTCTAAAGTCAATTCTGATTTTCACAGAAAAAAACTTTTCAAAACTTTTTGAAAGTTCTGAGACTTCCGAATCCTTTCGTTAATGGTTTGAAAGTGTTATTTCCTGTTTCATTGGGTGGTCTTTACTTCGAAAATAGTTGTTTTACTCCAGAAGCAGGGAAAAGCAAGAGGAGGAAATTCCTTCCTTCTCTGGTTTAAAACTGGCTTCTCTGGCTTGAGCCGAGGCCAGGAAATTCCTTCCTTCTCTGGTTTAAAACTGGCTTCTTTGGCTTGAGCCAAGGCCAGGGACCAGAAGCAGGGAAAAGCAAGCTGAGAAAATTCCTTCTCTGGTTTAAAATCAGAGAAGGAAGGAATTTCCTTTGCTTGCTCCCCCTTTCTGGTCCATCTGTCTTGGCTTGAGCCAAGGCCAGGGACCAGAAGCGGGAAAAGCAAGAGGAGGAAATTCCTTCCTTCTCTGGTTTAAAACTGGCTTCTCTGGCTTGAGCCGAGGCCAGGAAATTCCTTCCTTCTCTGGTTTAAAACTGGCTTCTCTGGCTTGAGCCGAGGCCAGGAAATTCCTTCCTTCTCTGGTTTAAAACTGGCTTCTCTGGCTTGAGCTGAGGCCAGGAAATTCCTTCCTTCTCTGGTTTAAAACTGGCTTCTCTGGCTTTGAGCCAAGGCCAGGGACCAGAAGCGGGGAAAAGCAAGCTGAGAAAATTCCTTCTCTGGTTTAAAACCAGAGAAGGAAGGAATTTCCTTTGCTTGCTCCCCCTTCTGGTCCCTCTGTCTTGGCTTGAGCCAAGGCCAGGGACCAGAAGCGGGGAAAAGCAAGAGGAGGAAATTCCTTCCTTCTCTGGTTTAAAACTGGCTTGAGCTGAGGCCAGGAAATTCCTTCCTTCTCTGGTTTAAAACGCTTCTCTGGTTTAAAACTGGCTTCTCTGGCTTGAGCCGAGGCCAGGAAATTCCTTCCTTCTCTGGTTTAAAACTGGCTTCTCTGGCTTGAGCCGAGGCCAGGAAATTCCTTCCTTCTCTGGTTTAAAACTGGCTTCTCTGGCTTGAGCTGAGGCCAGGAAATTCCTTCCTTCTCTGGTTTAAAACTGGCTTCTCTGGCTTGAGCCAAGCAGGGACCAGAAGCGGGGAAAAGCAAGCTGAGAAAATTCCTTCTCTGGTTTAAAACCAGAGAAGGAAGGAATATCCTTTGCTTGCTCCCCCTTCTGGTCCCTCTGTCTTGAAAGAAATTACATATACTAGAAACCAACACTTTCACATTACTTTATTTTCCAGATCACCAGGCTGGGCCACAGCAACGCGTGGCAGGGGACAGCTAGTCTATATAAATAAAAATGTAATATTTGTTTGTGGGATTAACATAACTCAAAAAACACTGAACGAACTGACATCAAATTTGGACACAATACACCTATCAGGCCAAAGAGTGACCATCACTCAAATAAACACTGAAAAACACAGCAGAAGAGACTTAAAAAGTAACCCCCCCCCCAAATTACATTACAATGCATGTGCAAAATCACACACATATATGCAAACACACATATACACATATTCACAAATATATATACACACATATATATACACACAAAATACATATACACAGACTGGGCCACAGCAATGCGTGGCAGGGGATGGCTAGTATGATATAAATATATTTACAATAGAAAATGGTGTTGCCAGAAAAGAGGTTCTGTACTCACAGAAGACAGTAAGGTTGGCAGATGTACGCTTAATGATGATGTCTCCACCAATTATGAGTTCGGCTTCACAAACAAATTCCCTTCCGTTGTCTTCCTCTTGAGCTATCAGGGTGAACTGCAGAGGGAGATGCTTACTGGTAGCCAAGCTTCTTCCAGAAGCATTTTGGCTCTGAAGAGAAATGCGGAGGGGCTGAGTGGCTGAAGAATTGCAGACAAAGGTCACTGGGTTGTTTACAAGGGTCTGAGATGGATAAACTTCTAGGGAAGGCTCAAGAAAACCTGTTGACATAAAGGAAGAGGTTATTCCTGTACCCACTCAGAGGACAGATGGAAATGACTTCAAAGGCCAGGCCTTCCTTGGGAAGGCTATGGTTGCACACTATGAAAGGCTATGGAAGCACACTTTTCTAGAAATCTCAGCAGCCACTTACTGTAAACGTGTATGGTCTCTATCACAGATTTGGTCTCTGGTCCCAGGGTCACTGTGCAGCTCAACGTATGGTTTCCTGTTGATAAGGATGAGATTGCAGCTTGGGCTTTCACTGTATCGCCCAGTACAGTAGTGTTGACTTTCAGCCTCTCCTCTGCAAAGGCCATTTCGAAAAGGGCCTCTTCAGCTGGGAAAACCCCAACAACATCACATTGTACTGTGATGGTGGTGTTGGCTTCCAGGTAGGGCAACGTATGAATCTGAGGGTCCATTGGGAAATCTATAAGAGAGAAATCAGATTATCGATGTACTGAGAGTCACCTCCTGGATTACCATCTATGAGACTACCATTCCCAGACACAGCCATTTGTGTTGGGGAATATGGAGGTGGAAGTCCAAAAAAGGAACTCTTCAAAGGTCTGGAGAAAATACAAAAGATACACTTTATTTGTTTATTTCATTTACATCCCACTTTCTTTCAATAGTAGGACTCTAGGTAATTAATAACATATTTAATTACAATACAAATCTATATAAATAAAAATGTAATGTCTGTTTTTGGGATTAACATAACTCAAAAACTGTTGGACGATTTGCTGCCAAATTTGGCCACAAGACACCTACTAACCCAAGGAGTGACCATCACTAAAAAAATGATTTTGTCATTTGGGGGTTTTAGTTGCTGGGATTTATAGTTTGCTTACAAACAAAGAGCATTCTGAACTCCACCAATGATGGAATTGCACCAAACGTTGCACGCAGGACTCCCATGACCAACAGAAAACACTAGAAGGGTTTGACCTTGAGTTTGGGAGTTGTAGTTCACCTACATACAGAGATCACTGTGGACTCAAACAATGATGGATCTGGACCAAACACTACAAGAATACTCAATATGCCCAAATGTGAAGACTGGAGGAGTTTGGCGAAAATAGAATCTTGACATTTGGAAGTTGTAGTTGCTGGGATTTATAGTTCATCTACAATCACAGAGCATTCTGAACCCCACCAATGATAGAACTGGGCCAGACCTCCCACACAGAACCCCCATGTGGGCCACAGCAACACGTGGCAGGGGAGAGCTAGTCATTAATAAAAGTATAAATATAGTATTTAATGTATATCCCGATGTATAAATCAAAATATCACCCCTGCAAAGCCTGGGTCAACTTAACCATGTGTCAAAGTAAGAATTGTAACTTAACTCTTACCAAAAAAAAGTGACTGTCCCCCTTCTCTGAGAAGGGTGAAAGGTGAGAATTTAGTCTGTGCCAGGGGAACCTTAGAGAACCTCTGACTTTCTCTCCTCTCCTTGCTATGATGTCTTTTTGAATATGTGGGAAGCGACTGGTGTCCAGAAAAAGCTGGCTCCCTGTGGTGGCATTGGTGTTTTCCCCTATCCATGGAACGACTCTTGTTTCATCCACAGGTCACCCCCAAAATCCATAATTTTGGCCTTCACATATGTTCTCCACTTATCCGTGAGGACAAATTGTTGTTGTTGTTCATTCGTTCAGTCGTCTCCGACTCTTCGTGACCTCATGGACCAGTCCACGCCAGAGCTCCCTGTCGGCCGTCACCACCCCCAGCTCCTTCAAGGTCAGTCCAGTCACTTCAAGGATGCCATCCATCCATCTTGCCCTTGGTCGGCCCCTCTTCCTTTTGCCTTCCACTTTCCCCAGCATAATTGTCTTCTCTAGGCTTTGCCTGTCTCCTCATGATGTGGCCAAAGTACTTCAACTTTGTCTCTAGTATCCTTCCCTCCAGTGAGCAGCCGGGCTTTTTTTCCTGGAGGATGGACTGGTTGGATCTTCTCGCAGTCCAAGGCACTCTCAGAACTTTCCTCCAACACCACAGCTCAAAAGCATCGATCTTCCTTCGCTCAGCCTTCCCTAAGGTCCAGCTCTCACATCCGTAGGTTACTACAGGGAATACCATGGCTTTGACTAGGTGGATCTTTGTTGCCAGTCTGATGTCTCTACTCTTTACTATTTTATCGAGATTGGACATTGCTCTCCTCCCAAGAAGTAAGCGTCTTCTGATTTCCTGGCCACAGTCTGCATCTGCAGTAATCTTTGCACCTAGAAATACAAAGTCTGTCACGGCCTCCACATTTTCTCCCTCTATTTCCCAGTTGTCAATCATTCTTGTTGCCATAATCTTGGTTTTTTTTTTTTTTTTTTTTTTAATAAATTTTATTCCACAACAATTAAAAAAGACAAACAAAACAACCACATACCAAAGACAGCTAGGTGACAATTAAATACAAACATTACAGAATACAAATAGACACAACAACATATACGTTAAAAACTCAGCCAGTCTGAAGTGGCCGAACCTCCTCTCCCTCACTCTAATGAAATTTCCCTTATTCTTCATTTACCGTCTTTATTTACATATACCGACATATATTTGTTTTCTAGTAATTTAATCTTGTATAAATGTATATAATTTCTTTCGTAATTCAGAGCCTACCGTGAATATATGTCTCAATTTCCTATCTCATAATTGACTTTCCATTATCGCTAACACGTCCTTTTCTTTGTGCTTCTTTTCACCTGTTACTCTTAGTCTCTCTCCTTTTCCTGATCCAGTTTTACCTTGAATTTTGGTGTGATTTTTGGATTTTGACATCTGGATTTCGGTGTTTGCCACTAAATGCGAGGGTTAGCGCCATACCTGTGGAGGTATTGCTAAGCGATTTATAGTTGTATCTTTCTCCTCTCCATCCATTCCTTGACCGGGGACCAATTTGTCTCCCCAAACGGTATATTTCGTGTAACAGAAAGGATATATGATAGGCGGTCCATGTTCATTATGTCTGCTAATTTTTGGATCCATTCTATCTCTGTTGGCATTTCCTTTTTTCTCCAAACTTTAGCGAGAAGTATTCAGGCCGCCGTGATCATGTATATGAATAACTTGTCTGTCTCTTTATCCAATATTTTCCCCGAGAGGCCCAGCAGAAATATCTCCGGTTTTAGAGGGATATTTTTTCTTAATATTTTTTGGCAATTTTCCTGGATTGTTTTCCAATAGGTTCTAACCTTCATGCAGGTCCACCACATATGCTTATAGGTCCCCTCCTCTGTCCCGCATTTCCAACACTTGTTACACATGTTCTTCGAGAACTTGGCAATTTTGGAGGGCGTTAGGTACCACTGGTGTACCATTTTAATCCAGTGTTCCTTTATGTCATAGGCATATGAATAATTTGTTTTTATATTCCAGATGATGTTCCATTCTTCTAACGATATGGTTCTTCCAACCAGTCTAGCCCATTTAATCATATATTCCTTGATTCTCTCCTCCTCTGTGGACCATTCGAGCAGTATTTTATATGCTTTGGTGATAAATCTTCTTGGTTTTTCTAGTAGTCTATCCCATTCCGTTAGGTTTTCCATGAAGCCTATTTTCCTGTCCTTCAAATAGTGTTCTTTCAGTTGCCAAAACTGGAGCCAGGTAAGGTTATCGTATCTCTCTTTTAGCACTTCTAATGATTTCAATTCTGTTTCCTTTCCAGTCCTTGATAGTAGATCCTTATACGTAGGCCACGTTCTCCAGCCCAGTTCTCTCCTTTGGTAGGCTTCCAGAGTGGAGAGCCAGAGAGGCGTTTTTGGATACATTCTCCCCTTATATTGGTCCCAAACTTTCAGTAGGGCCGCACGAATGAAGTGGTTTCGAAAGTTTTTTTCCACTTTTGCTTTGTTGTTCCATATATAGGCGTGCCATCCCGACCTTAAATCGTGGCCTTCTAATATTAATAATTTTTTGTTGGTTAGTGAAATCCAATCTGTGATCCATTCTAGGCAGCTAGCCTCAAAATACAGCCTGAGGTTTGGCAATCCCAGACCCCCTCTCTTTCTTTCATCCGTTAGGTTAGTAAAATTAATTCTGTGTTTTTTGCTGTTCCATATAAATTTTGCGATGTCTCTATTCCAATCTGCAAATATTTGTTTCTTTCTTATTATTGGGATGCTTTGAAAAAGATGTAACATTTTAGGGAGTATATTGGATTTTACCACCGCTATTCTACCCATTATGGAGAGTTTCATATGTTGCCAGTTTTTTAGATCTTTTTTAATCTGTCTCCATTTTACCTCATAGTTGTTTTTTAATAACTGTGAGTTTTTTGCCGTGATATATATACCCAGGTACTTGATCTTTGTCGTTATTTGCAGGCCTGTAAGGGCCGCCAACCTTTCTTTTTTCTCTCTTGGTATATTTTTGGTAAGTATCATGGATTTTGCTTTATTAATTTTAAGGCCTGAGACCTTGCCAAAATTTTCTATCTTTTCTATCCATAGGTTGATGTTACTAAGAGGGTCCTGTATTGTACAGATGAGGTCGTCAGCAAACGCCCTTAATTTAAAGGATTCCTTCTGTAAGTTTACTCCTATCAATCTGTTATCCTCCCTGATCTCATTTAACAAAATTTCTAGCGCCAGAATGAATATTAACGGCGAAAGGGGGCAGCCCTGTCTCGTGCCTTTCTCTATCATCAACCTTTCTGATTCGTGCCCGTTTGTCTTAATGGTTGCGCTTTGGTCTGCGTAGATGGCGTTTATAGCGTTCATGAATTTAAATCCAATATCCATTTCTGTAAGTATCGATTTAAAAAAGGACCAACTTAGGTAGTCAAACGCTTTCTCCGCGTCGACCGCTAGAATAGCCAATTCCTTCTCATTGTGACTTTCGAAGTATTCAATGATGTTTAATATGTTTCGGACATTGTCCTTCATCCTCCTGTGTGGCAGAAAGCCAGTCTGTTCTTCCTTAATCCATGTTGTGAGAAATCCTTTTAGTCTCTCTGCTAAAATCTCTCTCTTCTCTTCTCTTCTCTTCTCTTCATAATCTTGGTTTTTTTGATGTTTAGCTGCAACCCGGCTTTTGCTTTCTTCTTTCACCTTGATTAGAAGGCTCCTCAGCTCCTCCTCGCTTTCGGCCATCAGAGTGGTATCATCTGCATATCTGAGGTTGTTAATGTTTCTTCCAGCAATTTTCACCCCAGCTTTAGTCAAATTGTACATGACTATATATAGAACCATAGAATAATAGAGGTGGAAAAAACCACATGGGCCATCTAGTCCAGCCTCCTGCCATGCGAGGTGCTTTACGTGCGAGTAAGCCACGCGGAGCAGCTTCCCTTGGCTGGCTCATGCTGCCCATCGGGCCTGACGGATAGCGTGAGCCAGCCAAGGGAGGGGCACTGTGGGGCTGGTGCTCCTCCTCCGCGGGCCGGATAAGTGCCCTTGACGGGCTGGAAGTGGCCCGTGGGCC